AGCAGGAAAAAAAATTGATCAGTATTAGTAATGAGATTACTTCTTTTAACCCAGAGCAAAATTTGTGGAAATGTAACGCTTGATAGTTTCTCTCATGACAGATTGCTTCAGAGTTAAGCAGCACGATTCAAAATGATCTCTCTTTTAATATGCAAGAATCAGTGTTATAATATAGAGGAGAAAATCTTCAGAAGATTTAAAGCAGGAGTGAAAAACTCCTTTAGTCAATGCAACTAATGGTGAGGGATCTCAAAGGCTTTGGAGAACCACCAGCTCTGCACACAGCTTTAAAATAAAACACTGCACTACTTACTAAAATATCACCTGAGTACTTCTTTAAAAAAAAAATCACTCTTCCTTTTATTATTCAGGCAATATGGACCACATAAGAATAGTCTTTATTGCAGTTCCTCCTCAAAGTTGTTCCATTTTCTTTTAGAATCGCCTCTAACTTAAGGTGAAGCCCCTGTAGCATATGTTCCTCCCACACTGTCTAATGCTTTTCAGGATATCTGGGTAGCAGATTGCAAACCACAAAGGTAATATAACGAAGTAAACAAAATGACTGCTGATAAGCCTATCTGTGGATAAACTGTACTTAAGAGAGTTTCATCCAAACTCTCATTCATCCAAGAATGTATGTAGGCTGGGGAAAAGACCTATCCATGTTCCATCTCCTTCTGCCCCCCCGCATCCCCTTCTTTGTGTTGCCCCGATGAAGAATGTGGATGCCAGCACTGGACTCACAGTGGACCCAAATTTAAATACAAGCAAACACTGAATTCATCTTAAGCTAATAATTAAAAACAAACAAACAAACGAAACAGTGTGTAATAATGGAAAGCTGTTTAGTAAGAATGCCTTCTCATCCTTCAAGTTATTAGAAAGCAAGACTGACCTATACACATTTGTGGCTTATTGTATCACACATTACATAAAAGCTCTTGCTCTTGGAGATGATATACCACTGGATCTGTCAGCAACAAAAAGCTCTGGAGCCAAACACGCTTATGGACTGAAGCTGCAAATGTCGCAGGTTTTATTACACTTGTGACTGATACCAAAGTCCAATTATTGCTGACATTTGGGGTTTAGGGCTGAAATCTTGCAAAGGTCAGTATGAACCGTGAAGTAATACTCCCTGGGAACATTTCTGAAGAAGAGAGCTGAAAGGGAACTCCCCAGGCAAACAGCAGATTATGCTGGCTGAGCTCTGTATCCCTTAGCTAAACCCAGAATATATATGATTTGATCTAATCTGTAATAAAGGAGGCCATTTCTGTATTACCTGAACTAGAGTTCTAAAGCATACATGTTGAGATCTTGGAGCAATCGCTGCAAATAGAAAAATGCACTTTTACGAATAATTCTTAGAATTAAATCATAATACTTTTTACTCCATGTTCAAATAGCATATTATCTACATTTGGTGGAAGAGAAATGTTTAAGTACACCCAGGGGCTTGAGCACATCAGGTGCCTGTGAAAGGCCATGCCACTTCCCATAAGCCATATCACTAACTGCTTCTGAAAGTTCCTTCTACTCAAATTGATACTGAGGTCAGAGCTGCTGTTTAAGAAACAAGGGACCAAGGATCCCTTGGGTGTGCAGAATTAGTTACATGGTTCTTTACATCTGGGCCAGATGTAAAGCAGTAAAACAGACACTGCAGCAAAGACCTGATTAAAACAGTAAAGCCCAATGGCCCAAGGAACTGCTGGAAATATGCACAGTTTCACAATCTCGGGCTGCATTGCAGTGTATGGCGGTAGATTAGTAACTGAGCTTTGATATTGCACTTCTGTGCAATTCTTATACATCAATGCAATCATGTTCCAACCTAGATTACTTCTTAATTTCCCTTAAGGAATCCCACTGCTTGTTTTAACATTAAGGAGGCCGGGTGTGCACTGCACTTTATGAAGTAGCAACTCTCTGGAGACAGCAAATGCTTCACAACCAAATTAGGCCTGGCTTGAAAGGGTCTACAAGCAGTTTGCTGCTAGTTGCCAGAAAATGAAGCAGGGTATAAGATAACCCAAAGGTAGTCTGCCTGCAAAATTACTGGTGTTAAAGAGCACAAGTGAAAGCAGGGGACTCGCAGCAAAGGTGGCAGACTCCCATACTGTTGTTGTTGTTCAGTCGTTAAATCGTGCCCGTCTCTTCGTGACCCGATGAACCAGATTGCGGAAGG